TAAGGCTATTATTGTGACCCTTTCAGGATTTATTTCTGCATGTCTCAGTTGAAACATTTCATTGTTCAATGCCTCACAAAGGGAGATAATAAAATGGGAAGGTTAAGGCAGATTCTCCAATCTGGGGAGTGTTGTAAGCATGTTCCACCAAACCTATTTATGGGGGCCCTTTTGGCTTTTGCACTCAACATATGAAATCTAAGCAACAGCTGCTTACATGGGGATGATGGGGTTAGAATCTATACCCTCACACACTACTCCATGCTTTAACCTGAAGTATGTGGAGGCAAACATATATAAACATGTCCAGAGGTTGCAAATATAGCCAGTTTACCCCAGGAACCAGCCCAGCAAAGTTTTTTTGTGTTTTCCAAGCTCCAGGGTTAGCTGAAATGTTCTTGTGGTGATGATGAGGCTTTTCTATGAGATAAGTGTGGCATACATCTAGTGTCCATCACTGGGGTGGGGAATTACATGAGTCAAAAGCTTGTATTGTTGTTTGTGATAGAGAGCATGGGATGGAAACAACTTCTTATCTCATTTTTGTTTATGGAACCTTTCCCAGTCCTCAGGCAAGGTACAAAATGAGCACTTCCCACTGCCAGGAAATATACACTGTTATTTGAATAACATTATTTCTAAAGACTCTGTGCAATCTCCTATCTTCTGAGGTCAACTTGGAAGGTTGCTTTAGCAGCACAGTTCAAAATGAAAACAGTCTCTCTCCCTACACCAGTATTTAGCTATGGTGGATTTGTTCACACTTTCAGTTTATGTTCAAGCACTTTTAAATATATATATACTCCTCATTAAATATAAACACTATATATGTGGAATAAAAAGGTGAGATTTAAAGTGCTCTATTCCCCCCATAAGTCTCCAGGCTGCTGAGGTTTTTTTTTTTTCCCCTCCCAGGCTTCTCCTCACCCTACTCCATACCTTGCTTTTTAATGCTGCTTCAGTCTCCCATCTTTTAGCAGAAGATTTCTAGGGAGCACTACGGGCCACAACAGAGATAGAGATGCCTCCCCAAAAGTCCAAAGCCTTCTTAGACCATAATGTTTATGACTAGTTAACTGTTAGTTGTACTGATTATCAATTACTGTATATCATTAATATAGATAATAAAAGCATGCCCCATTTTAGTTCTCCCTCAAAGCAATTGCTGAAAGCAAATTATAAAATGTGAAAAACCATAAAAGTAATAGCCAGCAGCTCAAATGCATTTATTACAAGGCATGAAATGCTTCAAGAAAAAAAAGGGGGGTCTGGGAGAGAAGAGAAGACCAAAAGAAGCCAGATCTTCAACAATTAAAAGGCGGACAGAATCCTACTGGTGTTTGCTTGAAGTTTGTTTTAACTTGGCCGCAGCTAAGTGACAAAGTGCCAGGGTCACTTGCCCATTTGTGCAGTATAAGCGTACCCTGATATTTTGTCAGTGAGCTTCCATTAACCAAACAAGTTACATAAACAGTTAAATACTGTTAATAAGTAGCAGTTATGGAAGTAAATCTTTACTTTTAATTTCTCAAAAGTAACTCAAATAGTTACATTTCATTACTTTTTCAAAAATCTGAATGCTACAGGCTGCCAACCAGGGGTGCGAAAAACACTTTCCGCTTGCCTGCCTTCCTTTTACCTCAGCAGCCACAAGAGAGCACACAGCAGCAGCCTGAGGTGTCACACTCCTGTATAAAAATTACAATTGCAATATACCCCTTGTTAAATTACAATTGTGATATACCATATTCGTACCATATCTGTTGCTGGGGGGGCTGCCAGGACTGGGATTGCCTCTGGTGATTTGTCACCAGTTCTTGAATACTAAAGCCCCCCCCTTCCCCATCCCAAGGCACCCAGAGGTGTCCCCAGAGGCAAAAGGGAATTCTAGGGAACCTCAGAAGCTGAAGGGGGAAAGGGTAGTGCAAGAAGCAGTCAATTAATTTAAATTAAGCATTACTGGCAGAGTATTATGTTTACATTAACAGTCATTATTTATAACAAGTTATCCCAAACTGTGGAACAACAGAGAAGGAAAAGAAAACAATAGCATAATCAATGTCGATTGTCTAGTCACTGGTTCTTAACCTTGGGTTACTCAGGTGTTTTTGGACTGCAACTCCCAGAAGCCTTCACCACCAACTGTGCTGGCTGAGGTTTCTGGGAGTTGCAGTTCAAAAACATCCGAGTAACAAAGGTTAAGAACCACTGGTCTAGATGGTCCCATGGAACCTCCTCACTTCTTAACAAGCTGCAGAAAACGACCAGTGCTCCTAAGTAGACCCATCCTATCCTGAGGGTTGCACAGGATAAATGCCTGCTCGTGTTTGCCTTCATAGACCACCCCTGCTCCTCAAAAAGGCTTGGAGATTGTGATAAGAGCTAGGCTGAGGCTCCAGTAAAGCAAATGTACAGTACATTGTTATTTTTAGGGCCTGGGGGAACAAGTACCGCCCTTCCCTGGCTTTACCATCCATTCGTTCTTGACTTCTTGTTCTGTTTTGGCAATATTTACAGCAGTATTGTATGATTTTAGATTTATCAAGCTGTGCAGGGAGATGTGGGGAAGGGTATGATAGGAAGCAGGCCTGCCAGTGTGATAAAAACTGCCTTGCCTACGCGGAGTGCTGCCCAGATTACAACCAAGTCTGCACTGCAGGTAAGACCTTAGCGGCCATTTTGTTTTTTGAGTTTTTTGTTTGTTTGGATGATGGTGGTTGCTTTTGTTTTCTGGTCTTTAGAAGATAAATAAGCTCTGCTCTGTTTCACATTTAAAAAGTGGTTGCCAGACTGTATATCAGGAACCTTTGGATTCCTGGGAAGCTTAGCAGTGACACCTTAACGGGATCATCAAGAACAGTGGCTGTATTTCTCCGACAGTCAGCAGATTTGACATTATTTGTTTTGTTCTGCTGTGGTCAGGTGCAAGGGTGGGTTGGATACACTACAGTGGGAGACAGCAATGTGTGTGTTGCTTTCCACTTACTGCTGTGGTGGCAGAAAAATTTCTACCTCCCTTTATCTATCAAAAAACCCCACAGCAGGTGCCTTCTTCCTCCAGCTTATGGCCTCAGGTCTTCCTTCACTCCTTTTCTACTCTCCCCAACAAAAGCAACATTGCTTTGCTGCCACCACTACGGCAGCCCTGCTGCTTTGCCTCTCTCCCCAACCCCCAAGAGCAATCACTTTTCTTTCCTACCACTTATCCCTCCCTTCTCTCCTTTTTTTTCTTTTGGAGGAGAGATGGCAGACATGGTGGTCTGTACAGTATGATTCATGCATTCTCCCTGCAAATGCCAGAGATGCTCTGCCACTGTGGGCTGAACTATACATCACAGAGAAGCCATGGTTGGAATAGAGATCTCCTGACCTAGAGAATGTATAGCTGTCACAGCAAGAGGGTTCTTTGCATCTGTCATATCCTGCAAATTGGGATGATGTTTGACAGCCAAGTACAAGCTCTGAAGGCTTACCCAAAACTCATGTATGGAATGCGAACATGATTTCAGCTCTAATGATCAGTCATCTGTAATGTACAGTTAGGCCTTCTCAGGCAACCTGTGATAAGTGTTGCTTCTGACTGACAGAAACTAGCAAGAATATTCAGGGGAGGATGGTGGGACGGGTGGTACTGTAACATCAGGAGGAATATATTGTAGCATATCAATCTAGCATTACATCTAAGAGGGACAAGAAAATCGAAAAATGAAATGTGTATTGCTGTTGTTGTTGTTGCTGCTGCTACTGGTCTGGATCTGCTGTCTTTGGATGTAGCCGAGCTGGCTTTCAGCCACTGAGGCAACGTTGAAAATGGTCCTTGACCCATAAGACGTTGCCCACCCTTCTGCTACAGGCTGCATTCAGGTTTTGTCTGGCTAAACCGGGTAGGCTCAACAGGGTGGTGTTTGGTGCCCCAGGGACACTAGCCATCTACTTTGCAAATATCTGTGGTGTACATGGATTCCATAATAGACATTCTGTGGCTCCTCACAACACAATCCAGCTGATTTGGAAGCTGTTGGAAAGATTTTGTGATGGTAGGAAATTTGAGGAAAATCCATACTGCCTTCCTTAGGATCCTTCCCTTTGGCACTCGTTATTTGTGTCTCAGTGTTTGTTCATCGTTTTCCTTTTGTGTCCTGTGTGTGATTCTTATTTTTGCATATTTGTGTTGAATTGATCTGTGCAAACTCAATGCCAGTTCTCTTGCAAGGACTTCCAGACACTGATGAGTAATTTCTGTGAGCAGTGGTGAAAATATGTCATGTACTGTCAAACCAAGTGAAGTCAATGGCTTCTGTGTACAGTATGTTAACATGCATGTACCGGTCCTCAGATATCACGAACGCAGTTCACAGTTTCACTAGGGAACAAACACAACGAAATGTGCTATTGATGAAATATGGTTCAGGATGAAAACCCAGTACGAATTTTCCAGTTTCTGAAAATCACATTGTGCAAATATAGACTCTTTCGTGCAGGAAGATTTAGGCATAATTTTTCAAATGTCTTGTATTGTTATCCAATATTGTCTAGATTCCAATGCCAAGAGACACATTTGGCCGAGTTTTCTGAAGGAAGTCAATACAAACAAGCCCTCTGATTTCTCAACTTCCTTGTTCACCACATTGCAAGCAAAACAATCTTAATTAGTGAATGTTCTACTCACAGGTGTCTGTGGGTTGGAGAAGGCACTCGACCCACCCCAAATCCTAAATTTTATTATTATTTTTATGTACATAGAGACATAGCATTGTTAACGCTGCATATGCGAATTAAGCTAACATACCATTAAGTGACGTTGAACACCCCTTGGAAAAATTCATGTGGACGCCTATGTTCATATATTTAGTGACAGAGGGCTTTGTAAACAACCTGATTTAGAGCCACTACCCATATGTTCGCCAAATGTTCCGCATTCAAGGCTACAAAGATGTACAGAATATGTCCCGTTTTACTTGGTGATTGATCTGCAAATGCATGGCATGAAAACCAAAGAATACAAACAAAATTTAGCAAATAAAATAGTTAATTTCTGAAATTATATTTGATGTACCAAAAAGCGGAGGCTATGAACATAGTTGTTTCCCTCATGTATGCATACACAGTACTGTACTAGTAGAATACATTGTTGATAGCCAAGTAATGTTAAATGATAGGTTTTCATTAATATAGTGACATAGGGGTGATTGAATAAAAACTATGATATGGTTTCTAAATTATATCCAGAAAGCCACATGTGTTTCAGTTTGCAGAATTAAATCTGAGAGATTAAATGTCATGGGCTTTGATGCATGCCTCCAGTAGTCCCTCCACATTAGATCATTCATTCATTTATTCATCCATCCATCCATCCATTCATTCATTGACCCATACACATCATCACTATAGGAGTTGTGTAGTATCTTAATTAGAAGAGATCCCATTCTTGAATGCCAAGAAAAGAGTGCTAACTTTCTTCCATCCATCATCTTATGTAGAATTGTCGTGTAAAGGGCGTTGCACTGACAAGTTTGTAAGAGGGAGACCTTGTGACTGTGATCCAGATTGTGATAAGTTTGGCAAGTGCTGCATACACATCACCACTATAGGAGTTGTGCAGTATCTTAATTAGAAGAGATCCCATTCTTGAATGCCAAGAAAAGAGTGCTAACTTTCTTCCATCCATCATCTTATGTAGAATTGTCGTGTAAAGGGCGTTGCACTGACAAGTTTGTAAGAGGGAGACCTTGTGACTGTGATCCAGATTGTGATAAGTTTGGCAAGTGCTGTCAAGACTTTCGAGAGGCATGTCCAGTAGGTGAGTGCCACTTCATTGCCCTTCTGTTTCCACACAGCTACAATGTAACTTGAGAGAATCCCATGAAACTCAGGACTTATTTCTAATGGCAAGATTGAAATCCAGTCTCCTTTGTGCAGCAATGCTAACTTGTCAGCAAAAAAAACCTGACGTACATCTGTTCTCCTTATTAGGATAGTTTCTTATGATGTAGAAATTATTTTTTTATGGAGTTGCCCTCGCTGGGTGGACCGCAGCCCAGGTGCAGGTGGCTACTTCAGTATGGATTATACCTACCTTGATTATACCTACCTTTTAATCTATGGTGTCATTAAACCCAATAGCAAGTGTTAGTAGTGTCACATTAGAAATATGATAAAGGCCTATGCAAGCTGCGGAACTGAAGTTGAGAAGGGGCTGAATTCTTGAATTGACAAAGAGAGTCATCTGGGAAGAGTGCTACTCCTAGCATTAATAGTTTGCTGCCAGCTGCCTGGATCCTGACCAATGACGTGCCAAGAAAATAACAGAACACACAATTGGGCTATGCATCTTAAGGAGATGCCTGTAGCTCCTATTAGGTGATGAAGTACATGGAATTCAGCTGCAACAATTAAAAAGCTCCTCTTTTTTTTGGTCTACAATGCCTTACAATATGTGCAAGTCGATGAAGTACATGGAATTCAGCTGGAACAATTAAAAAGCTCCTCTTTTTGGGGGGGGGGGTCTACAATGCCTTACAATATGTGCAAGTTAGTAGTTATATGTTGTATCCCAAAACAATAGTATTTTTACACTCTGAGTAAGACCTAGTCATTTGCGTCACTTGAACTCTGGAACTGATTAATCCTCACTGTGCAAAAAAATGAAGCTTGTTCCTTTCACCCATATGTACAACCAAACTCTATGATACTGGTAACATGTCATTAGAAGCCAAAATTCTCAGCTGTGCTGAAGATGTGATTCAGGCTCACTTTAAAAACCGACATGCAAATGAAGCCTGAGCTTATTCTCATTGGCCAATCAGAAAACAAAGCAATCTAATTTACAAGCTGAACAAGGTGTGGAAAGGTCCTGCTGTGAGGCAATCAGATGTTCTCAGCACTTCCTCTTTTTCAATGGTTTTTATTAATTTTCATAGGTATAGGGGCTATGGTACAAATAGGGGAACCAGGTAAAGGAGGGAGGGTGAGGGTGGGAAAGGGTAAAATTCCAGAGAGCAAAAAGTATTTTTACATCCACTTATACAATTATATTAAAAAGGGAAATTGTGCAAAGAAAAAAAAAACATTATAGCAATTTTCCAAGATATTTATAATTACTAATCTTCCTTTTTCTTGGACCTTTTCTTTCGTTTTATCTTTAGACTCACTCATTTTTATAGGTTTGATATTATTCTCCCAAGTTTATATATATTGCTCCAAATCAATGTTATAACCCAAATCAATGTTTGTGTCTATTTTATCATATATTCTTTCACCACAAAGTACCCTCTTAAATTTAACAGTTCCATCTTTTGATCATCTATAGATCATTTTGTCTTTTTCTTATTCTGCCAAATTTCCGTTTGTGTCCGTATGTCTTTAATTTGTTCAAATAGCTGAGCCATCTCTGTTTTTATGTGGTGTAGTCCATTAAATATAATGTTTTGAATAGTCTTGAAAAAGTCTTGTTCCATGATTGGAGGTATTATCTGGATTTCTTTCCAGCAGGTAGGAAACACAGTAGTTGTTCACAATGGTCACATGTCTTGGGGCAGAAAACATTTACAAATCAATCTCTCCAGGCTTCATAGTCAGCAATGGGCTGGGACAGAAAACATTTACAAATCAATCTCTCTCTCCAGGCTTCATAGTCAGCAATGGGCTTTCCCTCCTTTTCAAATCTTTTCCCAAGACTGTTTTCTGGCTGTTTCACAGATTTAAATCCATCAGTAGTTTATAGTTATATTGTCCTGCAGAAGTGAGTTCTATTGCCACAATACAAGCAAAGTTGTTTTCTTTCCACACCCCTCCACTCCCTTTCTTCTTTCATTCTCTTTCTCCCAGTCAAGCCTCGCTCTCTTCATTGTTTAGGTCTTTAAGAGTTCCATGTGTAAAACAGGCCACTCACTTCAAATTCTGGTCAAGATTATTTCCAAAATCCTTCTGTATTTTTCCACTCGCTGCCATGCGGCATTCACAGCTTTGTGCCAAGATGGCTCTGACTCGATTTCTGCTTCTAGATATGATTTCAAAGAGAGGCAAATATAGGCATCCGCTGGTCCTCCTCCCTTCTCAGTCAGATTCTGTTACGTCAGACTTTCACTTCTCCTAGTAAAAGTCCTTTCCCCGCCAAAGTTGGGGGGGTTTGAAACCGAGTGGTCTCAGTCAGTTTCAGGAGCCCTCCTGAAATCCGACCAGTCTTGCTGAAATGACGCCCTGTCTCCAGCACTTCCTCTTTTAATGACTGGCTGTTTGTATCATACAGTTTGGCTCACTGATTAGTCTTACACAGATTGGTGTTTCAACACCTTGGCACTGTTGATGCTGACCGGTAGCAGACACTTTCAGGCCCTGTCAAGAAGTACTAAGAATTTATCTAGGCATCTTTGGCATGAAAAATGTGTTCTACTGCTCCTCAACCTTTCCCTTCAGTGAATAGCTGCCACTGCCCATGAGGAAACATAAATGGCTGCTCTTCCAAATATTGTTGCAATGAAGACAAAATGCATTCACCACTACTAACACAGAGCAGAATAAACTTGACTTACCTGTATTGTAAGTCAAATTTACAGAGACACACTACTCCATACAGGAGGTTTTGGCCCAAATCCTGTTCATGTAATTTTAAGTGATGGAAACTGATGACGTAATCAACTTGCACCATTAAAATTGATTTTGAATTAATTAAAAGCTTCTTATTCCCAAATTTTAGATTCTGAACCTCCCCAGGGTTCCCTTTTGGTACTGGGGAAGCTTTTGGGAGATTTTAATTAACAAGTGGCACTGGTTTAATGTATCTACCCTCCCTACCATCCTGAGGCTCCCAAATGCTTCCCCAGGGCAGCCCCAGGGAGCCTTGGAACTTAAAACTAAAAAATAAAGGGGGGGAATAGGAAGCATTTTATGAATTTAAAATACATTTTAGCAGTGTAAGCAGATGACATCATCAGTTTCAGCTGCTTAAACTTGTGCAAACAGGATTTTAGTCATTATAATACACAGTTCCCCCTTCCACACATATTATATTGGTAGGCATATTTAACTTGTTTTATTATTGGGGGGGGAATGTAAAAATAAAAATCAGAAGCAAGTCCAAATTTGTAGGGAACAATTTATTCATTTAAAAATTATTTTTCTCTGTTATATATGCCATCCACACCCACATTTACTGCCTCCTGCTTCGTTATGGTGTTAAGTCGAGTCTGGATTTCAGCAGACATAACTTCATTTGACTTCAGTGGACATGGGCCAGGTTCAGATCTGGTAGTAATAAAGGGGTAGTAGAGGTGCCATGGCAGAATGCTACGGAAAATATGCCTTGTTCACCCCCAAGATAGCACGGAGGGAACAAATGCTCTGGGAGTTTCCATTTAACAAATCACAGCCTCCTTTTTCTAAAATAAAGTCTAGAAAGCCTGAAGCCTATTCTTGCACGCAGATTCTATTTTAGGAACCCATATCTCTCTGCTGGGAAGGTGCGAAGTAACCGGGCTTGGGGCAAAGAAGGGTAGCTTGGATCTGAAAACTGGCAGGCTGGCCAGTATGCTTCTCTCACTTGCTGGTTTCTTATGTGTTCTGCCTTCTGCCCTTTCCCTGCCAAAGTCCTGGATAACACCATGGGGGGAAATTGTTTTAGGATCCTCCCTATCAAACACCACTTGTCAGAGATAAAATCATTTTCCTCACATTGCTTTCAGAGAAAGGGGACGTTACTTGGGGCTGTGTGTTTTACATGCAAAATGTCCCAGGTTCAATCCCAGGAAGTGCAAGAATGCTAAATGGCTGCAGGGGCTAGTGCTGGACTTATGGATATTAAAGAGGAGTACCTACTCCAGAAATTCAATGCAACTGGAAATCTTATGTTTATTGCTTCAGGGAATCCATAGAGGAAAATTGAAAGACAAAGAGCACTAACCTTAGTTGTTCAGCCGTTATGAAGAGGTCATGTGGATCTGAATCTTTCTAGCTAGGAGGAGGAAGAAGCAGAAAGTAATCTGAAATGAGTGTGGAGGAAATCAAGCCAAGAGAAATACTCTAAATAGTGATCTTAAAAAGGCAACAGGGGAAAATATACTTGTTTTGTCTGACTCTTGTCCTCACCCCCCCTCCCGGTTTAAATCACCATGCATTAGTGCTCCATCTCCCAAAAGGACCTGCAAGTAGGGCTGTGTAAGGCTCCTGTCCGAAACCCTGGAATGCTGGAGCCAGCTGGCAGAGACAATACTGGACAAGGTGGAAGAAACACCTGGCTCAGTTTTACATCCGCACCTGATGTTTTTTTTCAGCTGTTCAGTAGAGTTTTGATAGATGACCCAAATGCAACCAAATCAAAGTTTTGCCTGTGGTGTTAACTGCTGATGTCTGATGCTGGTTTGGGGCTCCTATATCAAGTTCAATGCAAACTAGAATATGCAGTTGCTGTTATGTCAGACGATATACCTGCACCTCTAAGGGCTGCATTAAAAAGGAAATTTTGGCACCGACAACAGTAAGGAATACAGATTTGTACAAAATATAGGATCCCCATTTTGTTCGGGCTGTTTGGCCATGTTCTTAAGGTTTTTCTTCCTGGTGTTTTGCCAGTCTCTGTGGCTGGCATCGTCAGAGAACAGGAGTCAGAACTCCGCCCATGCTCTGTTGCAGTTTGTTGGATAGTTGAGTATTTATAGGTGTAGGGTCAGCTTTTGTCCTTTTCAGGAGATTGGGATTATGGTGATCAGTATGTTTTTGTTGTGGGTGTATTGTTGTGATAAGGGGGAGAGATGATCTGTCACTGTGATTGATGGGTTTTGTTAGCTGGTCTTGTTGTATTTTTGT